TAGGCCTTTAGCTGTGTGACAGAGCCTTTAGCTGTGTGATAGGCCTTTAGCTGTGTGACAGAGCCTTTAGCTGTGTGATAGGCCTTTAGCTGTGTGACAGGGTCTTTTGCTGTGTGACAGGGCCTTTAGCTGTGTGACAGGGTCTTTAGCTGTCAGATAGATGACTTTATGTTTGACTCCGGAACAGAACTTTCTAAAGTCTTCATTTTCTGACCTACAAATTAAAAGCAGTAAAACTTCAGGACATTTATCTTTGTATAGGTACAAAAATAATTTGTCAATAAAACAAGAACATGATWAGCAGTATTTACAACCATTGGACCATTTCAAATTTCAAACTGCAGCAATAATATGCCACTAAAAAGTTTAAAACTCAGTTTTTTGGAGATCATCTAAACACCTTTTGTTGATCTCTGGTTTGATCACAATCCCAGCTTCAGCTTTAGAATACTTTGAGTGAGAGCGATTTTTCCTGCAATCCTTCCAAACCAGTCATGACTTTAAACTAAAATCTCTAGATTATAAGATGCTTATTTGTTCTGTTCCAAATTTCAGCAACATTTCTTTTGTTTTGTCTTTGGTACTGATGTAATGTTCTCTTTTGTTTTAGTACTGAATCCATGCTCTAACCTTTGAGCTCCTTGTCTTGAACTGGATGAAGTTCTCTAAAAGATGTTGAGGGACCTGCTGTAACTGGGCCCAGTCTGTTTCCCTGATCCTGACACACATTAGCCAGAGGAGGGTTCAAAGCCAGTCCAGACATGGGGCCATGCTTCAGACGAGGCATGCAGTTTATGTAGGACGCTTACATTTTCTTCAAGTTCCCTGAACGCATCATCGGCCTGCTTTACGTCAGTGCCGACTAACAGGGACCTGTCGATCGGCTCTGAGAGGCCGTATTCGACCATTGCATTTTCTGTGGCGTTAATGGTTCTCAGGACCTCAGTGGTGAGGTCACAGAGGGCGGCGGCGGCGGATCTCTGAAAGCCATGTAGAGGGACATATGTTAGCAGCTGGAAAACAACTTCCTGTAGCAGCTACCGGGCTGGACCCCCACTCAGATAGGACTTTTGACTAAAGCTCAGGTGTGTCTCGATGCATCTGATCTCCAGGGGGTGCGTGAAGTCCAGGCAGGTAGCTACTTTACATTAACATAACCTGACAGGTGCTCAGTTAGGCAGGAGGCGGGCCGTCAGTGTGGAAACAGTCATGCACCAACAAGTCCACCTCAGAACCTCACAGATTTTAGTTGAGACAATTAACCTGAGTTGGATTTCAGATCTGGTTCTGGTTCAGGTTCTGGCATGGAGCATGTTGTTAGGAATTTAGCATGAACAGGTTCTTCTCAGGCTTTGACCTGATGGAAGGAGACCGTCTAAGGAAAAAGCTGAGCCATGCAAGTGTTCTGCTGACAGTTTCACAAACAGGAACCTGAAAGTTCTTAGTTTACAAAATAATTCATTCTTCATTCAGGTTAGAACTGTTGAGTTTGGAACCAGATGCTAGAACAAGTTCTTTCTCAGGTTGGAAATGTTGGGTTTGGACCTTCAGAACTGTTTTAGTTGGTAAAAACATTCAGGTTTATGTTTTCTGTCAGTCTCAGGGATTGAAACTGATGACTTCCATGCAGCTTTCGAACCTTTTGAGCCTCTGTTGGCATCTCATCGCTGGAGGAGCTCAGATCTTTGTTCTTCAGTGAATCCAGAGGAACCACTGGTTTGGTACCGGATGATCCTTTACCTAAAGGGAAAGGCTTCTTCACGGCCTCATCGTCTGATGACAGGCCTTTATCACTCAGGTTCCCAGCCAGCTCGCTCAGCTTCCTCCTCAGTTTCTCCTCCTCAGCCTGAGTCGAGGGAGTCGACACCTGCAGGAAGAATAAAAAATAAAAAAACAGGACATCTCACCACTCATTCTTCTACCTATAAGTTCCATTTTTGGAGTTTGCGTCCTGTCTTACCTCGTCAGCCGGCGTCATCTTTTCTTCCAGACGGCTCAACAGACTTTCGATGGCCGACATCCGTTTGTTCAGTTCGTTTATCTGAAAAAATAAATAAATAATAAAAATTCAGACAGAAAAGGTTGGTTTTATTTTCCTTACAGGAAGTTCTCATGACCAACATTTCCTATTAAATTCAGTTTTTTAGAATAGATTGTGTTCTTACCGGGGGGCCTTGGCCCAGGTTTTCCTGTGAGGCAACTCTGCTGTTCTTCCGGCGATGGGGAGGTTGTTGGTACATGGGGGTGTGCCTGGGGTACTCATCCTCATCTGAGGTGTCGACATACTGCTGCCGAGCCATCGAGGAGCTGATCTTAGACAGAGAGCGAGTCCGGACCATCCGGTTCTCTGCATAGTCCTCTGAGAAAACCCAAAGAGGTGGGAAAAAAAAACTGAACACACGAGTAGATAATACATTTAAAACAAGCTAATAAACACAGATGAACTGGAACAGGTAGATGGTGCAGGTATAACAGGTGAATGCACACAATGTGTGTATTTGCGTGTGTGGTTTTGTTTTGTATGTTCTGACCTGGTCTCATGGCGTGACGGTCCAGACTCTTCCTGCGGTTCGCTCTGTGGTTGTAGTAGTCGTAGTCCATTTCGTTCCTGTAACACCGATCGTCCTGCATTTGGTTTTTCACACCGTGTCAGAAAACRCAGAATCCAGAATTTWATGTTTAATTTGTCAATGACAGCAGGTCTGGGCTCAAGGGGAAATATTGGCTCGTGACTGACCTGTACCGATGGGCGGCGGGAATGAGGAAGATAATCCTCGGAGTCAAAGTCCATGGGATGAACTGACAGCAGGCGTTTATTCTTCCTCATCTGAGAGGAAAAACTTTCATTTTAGTTAATGTTGCAGTTGTACATGTCCTTCACTTTGGTTTTAAAGTTTTACCAGTTTGTAGTGTTGGGCCTCAGCCTCTCCTGGATCCTCCTCATTCCCATTGTGCATGTCTGAAAGGAAACACAAAGCTGAGTCGTAGAATATTTTTATCTTCTGTTGGGCCAAAGGAAAATGTGTCCAAGTTAGCTATGCTAACAGTTTAGTCTATGCTGAGTCAGTAAAATGAGCAACAAGCTAAACTTTCAGTTACTCTGCTTTAAGTCACTTCGAAGAACAGAAGTTCTACTTTGTTGTCCGTTCATGAAAAGGATTTGGTTTTTGCTCTTGCAAACATCAGTCTGGTCTTTTGTTTTTGTGCTAATAATCTCGAGCCATTTTAAGCCTTGTTTCCTGTTTTTGATGTTGTGGCAGTGGACATAGTTACTGCAGTGTATGGAAAGCTTTAGGAATTAAGACTTTTCGACAAACAATGGTGTGATCCTGTACTTCTTTAAATAAATCCATTCATTTTGTATAACAAGGTGATTGTGTTCCGTTTGCTCTGGTTGTGTTCCAATTATTCTGTTTGTGTTAGTGTGTACTGGTTGTGTTCAATTGTTCTACTTGTGTTTCAGTTGTTCTGGTTGTGTTTTGGTTGTACTGGTTGTTTTGGTTGTACACCAAGCTGGTTCTGATTTAAGTGATGGTTGTGAAACTCACGCCTGCGGACATCTGGCATACTCTGAGTGTCGTCATCACGACTGCCTGATGCACAAATACACTCCGTTAGCATTCAGCATCAATGACTTCATAAGACAGAATGTTTTTTCTTCTTGATTAGCACGTGTCAGGATTCACCCTCTCCATTCAGACGCTTGTACAGCGACCTCATCACCTTGGCACTGCCAAAGCGCTTGAAACGGTTCCTCATGTTGTCGTGATACCAACCCAGGGTCCCGATCTTCAAGACCCTGTAGAACGTAACACAAAACCAACACAACAAATTATCTAAAGATAAATTCCACAACCCAAAATCCTGATATGGCACAACTTTGTACAAATAAAGCATACCACACCAAATATTCCTACAACTTAGGTCCTGGTTTTCAAGACTCAGGTATTAAAGAATGCAACAAAATATGACAGCAAAAAGTATCCACAACTCAACATCCTGACCTTCAGGTCTCTAAGTCGGATCTTACTCATGGGATTCTCGGCTGACTCAGTCTGGCCTGGTTCCTGACTCGGTCTATCTCAGTGGTTCCCAAACTTTTCAGCTTTTGACCCACAAAATAACAGTAGCAGAGACCTGAGCCCCCAACTATTTTTGGATGATAAACATTTGTATCCGGTCAACTAAACATGGGCATAGTAACAATATTTATTATTCTACATTTATACATTTTAGGCAATGAGGCAAAAATGTAATTAATTTAGAAAATCTTTTCAGGACCCCACCTTGATGTTTCAGGACCCTACTTTGGGTCCCGACCCCAATTTTGGGAACCACTGGTCTATCTGACTCCGTTCTGACCCTTCATGGTCTCACCTGGTCATGCGGCAGTTGTCACACACCCAGCCGTGCTCCTTCTTGTTGTAGCGGCTGCAGGACTTGCAGGTGTACATGTGACAGTCCAGACACTGACGCTTGCTGTTGACCAGAAACTTGAAGGGCTGCAGGCAGCGGATGCACAACGAGTCAGACACATTTTTTTGAGCTCCTAGCAGCTCTCGCTTTGTGTCCTCCTTCTCAATCTGACTCTTCAGATCACTGCAACCAACAGGAAACACTGATCTTATCAAGAGGCCAGATAAAGACCTAAACCTTAGTTCAGATTTGTTGAGAAGTTTATCTCTGCAGCCCAGAAAGGTCAGAAACACAAAAACAAACATCTTAGGATTAAAGACGCTCTGAAATATCAAGAGATGAGGTAAAACCCAGAACCTGTCTGTTTTTACAGTATTTTCAAATTATTTAGTGATGTATACTGTAGATGTTTATCTGTTCATCGTGACTCAGACAACAGAACCAGATGTGTTGTTTCAGCAGGAAGGAAATCTCATTTTAATCACAGAAACTGTGATTTTAGAAGCAGTTTGGCCTTAGAGCTTCATCCCAGTTTATACTTGTTTCTGTCCAGTGCCAGGGGCTGATGGGAGTTGGAGTCCCCAGAGGGACTAAAGAGTGTTTGTGATGTCAGAGCATGTGACCACAGCATGACTGTGGCAACAACATCTTTAATGCCCCCATTCCTGCCAGCATGAGAAGAATGAACTGATTCACACGCTCTGATTCACAAAGACACACACACACACACACACACACACACACACACACACACACACACACACACACACACAC